ACACGAGCACAACGAATGGAGGAGGACGGCATCGATGCACCGAGAACCAGGTAATGTTTGGCAGGAGACATCGCGCTGGTAGGAGAAGAGCCGGCGAGACGCGATTGCGTGAGAGCCAGTCGTTGAATCGTATCACCGAGGTTCAGGAGGCCGAGGCACCCTCATCTTGTCACAATCATTGTCATGTGTCGCGTAATTCGACTGCAATTGACACGCAAAACGTCTCCTCGTCATCAGCGTCGTCGGTATCGCAGAATAGCACGGCTTCTCAGCACAATGTTGTTCCACCTATGTCTCAAATAGCAACCAGTACGGTACAAAAGGCAAAAGGTCTCGGAGCGAAATTGTTGCAGAGCTGGTCACTCAGCGCCGGGAAATCGTTGATATCGCAAGGCTCAAGGTCCGCTCGCAGTCCCGATGGAAAGAGTAATAGCTGTCGGCAATCGGACGATTGTCAGAGCGTCAGCGATGAACGTCGTGGCGATCACAAGTGCGCGAGTCAAGCGCCCTGTAATGACAAGGAGAATCGTGGTAACGGCTCGATCAACGAGTGTAAGAGGAACGAGTGTAAGAACAAGAAGATTCGGTTGTTGAGTCGTTATTTCGCCGTGCACAAGAAGCTCTGCGTACCGTTGCCGGGTATCTTTGGCAAGGGACGCCTCTACAAGGCTCGCTCGTGCGGTAGCATTACTCGCGATCGTGTTAGTCCGCCGTCGCCTAAATCGGTGCTGCTAGTCGAGGACAAGTGGCGGGAACGTCGTCAGTGGTGCGATGCGACAAAGCAGCATCGCGGTAGCGATGGCGATATAAATCAGAATTTAGGTCTCGCGCATCTAGTACAGGAGAGTAAGGGCTGCACCGGCATGCCCAACGTGTGCCACATTCATCTTGGAGACGCTTCCAAGTGTTGTAGCCTTTGTTGATGAATCGCTTCCGCTTGAAAGAGAATTCGTTTAGATATTCAAGATGAGAGACGTATAAACGCGGATAGGTAAAGACCAGGTCCGTTTTCTGGCAGTGGCGTAGCTAGATGGCATATGCGCGCGGGATTTCTTTCGCAACAATCTCTTTTCGATACTACTTTAATTTTTGGCGAGTTATTTTTGTCAATACAGAAATATTTTTATAGGTTAAAAGATCTGGGATATATATTTTTCTTTTTTTCTTAAAAAAAACTGCAAACGAAAACGGCATAGATACTGTATCTCTGACACATCTTAAAGAGAACAATAGTTATTAATTTCTAAGTACAGATCTCTCGAGGAATCATCTTGTAAGCAATTCGGAATGCAAAAAATATTAATAATTAATATTTCCAGAAAGGCATGATCTGTTTTTCGCCGAAGTTATGTTAAGTTAAGGACGCGCAACTGATATTTGCACGAGTGGTAATTGCTAACCACAATATTAAAGATTACGTGACTCTGGTCTACCATCAACGTACTTGACTGATCACATCATATCCCCGCTGGTCTGTAGAGCACAGGGATCAAGACAACAATAAGAGAAAAGAAAGATGGAGCGTATCGATTTGTCGATCGTTCTGAGAGAGCTGTATCTAGTCCATGTGAACAAACAATGTATTAAATATTGCAGAGTTTATGATGATGATTATTATATTATTATATTAATAATATTATTATTACTATATATATTATTATTACTACCATTACTCTACTACTGCTACTATTACTACTATTACCGCTACTATTACAGTCCCTATTATTATTGCGAGAGATCATCTTCATGCTATTGTCATTATCATCATTATTATTGTCATTGTCATTATCATTATCGCTGCTTTCGTCATCTATTCTCTCGAAATATTTACAATGCAAAAAACCTAGCACGATGTAATGCATAATGCATCGCAAACGGTAAAGTAATTCCACGATTGAAATTTGCAGTCAATCGATGCGGAGTCACGCAGTGCGAAAAGTGTCTTCCTCCTCCCATTTTTCTTTCTTTCAATTTTTCCTTTTTCTTCAATGCGATCCCTTCGTTTTTCTCTTTTTCTCTAAATGATACATCATTGCCTTTACAAAGCTTCCTAACTTATTAAGATGAACAGAGTCTCGAGATGGCTATAATGACTATATTTATATATACATATATATTGAAAGATAAATTAACATCGGACATAAATGCGAGTGTTCTACAACGGTAGCCTGAATTGCGTCTAAGTGAAAGGAAAGAAACGATTAAGGGAGAAAAACTCGCTCCGCGGTATTTGTATACGTTAAACCCGGTGCGGGAATAGAAGTGTTCTTGAGCAAACAGTGCGCAACGTAAAGCCCACCGAGTATGTAAGTACTGCGCGCAGATATTAGAAGCTTAAGAGTAAGGCGATAATCGTCATCTGTCAATCCATTCTTGTAGATCTAAATAATTGGCAGCGGACAGTAGGTGCAAGATCTGTTGACCGTGCTTGCCGGTTAAGCACGTCGCAACGTTCTTCGATCATTCGTTTCCTCGGATATTTGCGCCACATATTAACGGTCGTCTGGACGGACACTGTCATCGTCATCGTTTCTCTATCATCGTCATTATCGTGGGTGCTATCCGCTACTTAAAAGTGCGTGCTACAATCGTAAAGTAAGAAATATATTTCTCATTAATGTAGCGGGAACTCATTAGATTTCATTTTTTCTTTTCATCGCGATATGAACATTTCTTTATATCATCCGATCATTTCTAGCCCGATCCTTTTATTGCATTTCTACATCAATTTATGAATTTCGATAATCGAGTGCTGGACGCTCGATAGTTACCGAGATAATTCATTTCACGAGTTCATGCATTATTCATCAGCTCTTCCATTTCGTTATATGTACAAGGATAATTCGGAAAATTTTCGGCCTGATAAAGAAGACACATTTTTGGCAAAATTGTTTTTTATTTTTCAGCATAGTCTCCTTTCAATTTAATACATTTGTTTCAATGATAATTCTAATTTTTTTATACCGTTTACGATTTCTCTAATCTTCAAAATAAGCATTAGTTTCATCGCTTACTTTAGTATTTTCAGCCAAATCTCTTTCCTGCGAGTCATTTGGAAAAAGAAAAATCATTGGAGACTGATGAATGCGATGCTTGCAAAATCAACTTGAAATGCAAATTCATGCAATTTTATGATTAAAATTGAAAAAATATGAACGAATACATTTGTCATGGAACAAAAAATTTATGGCTTTACACGAGCGAAACAAAAGAAATTAATGAACGCATCTGACTGAAATTTTAACAGTAGCTCTGTACAGGATCAAATTTGTCTAAAATTATAACAGTTTGACATTTGTGGCGTCATTTCTGTGTCAGGCTCAGAACTTTCCGTACCCTCGTATGCCACATATGATGTATTTGAAAGCGATATAAGATATAAGAAAATATAAGTTCGAAAATAATACATGATTGTAGGATGATGTTAATATTATAAGGCAACTATCGCGCTGCTCGTTAAATCTCTTTATTATCCCCGTTTTCGTTTTTAAGTTCGCAACTGTATTTGCAATTGTGTCGATGGTAACTTTTTTGATAAAGACTGAAAATTTTGCAATAACTTCGATATCTCGATTACCAGCTACCTGCGCGTCGTACGATGACGATGACCTAAACGAGACCAAAAATAATAATTAAGATTCACAGACCTAAGTTTGCGCTAGCTACAAAGTGCAATACAAAGTCGTACAAAGCCAAGTACCTTGTGTCGGTGTAGTCGTTGATTTTAAGGATCCAATTCGATTTTATCTTTTTCACCCTATATTGTAGCGTATTCAGCAACTCGGGAGCTACTTTCGAAACTCGGAGCTAACAATCGCGGTGTACACATGGGCATTAACGTTTACTTCGGTATATGAGAATAATATCTCGGGAACGATAGGACTTTAGAATACAAGAATCTTCTCAGCTACGAATAATTGGACGAAGATTGTCACTGTAATCGACGAACGAGAGAAATTGTCTATGTAGCGTGAAGCTCAAAAAGAATTTCCTCGTAGGCACCACTAAGTCACTACGACTTGTTTCGGTCCTATAATATTTATGTAATAAATTGAAGGCGTCTTTCGCATAATTCGAACAATGTATATTCTGGAGTTGCAAATAGAGCAAAATGTCTCTTCCATGTACATATCTTTGGCATTTTCCTATATCCTGAGAAAACCGACTTCTTCTAGGAGAGCTATCGATAAGTAAAAGAAAGAGAGAGAATGAGATATTTTCGTGCTATAATACGGAACGCTGATCCATTAAACTGGATTTCCTGAGATGCGATATGTATATGTATGTCGCGAAACTTAAGTGCAAACTGACGTATCACATTGAATGCATGTGATTCTGTTGCGAACTTGCCGGCTTCTTGCTGTTGCGCTGCTCGTGTTAGTCGCTCATCCTTCCCATTTTAGCGAGTAATTCCGCTGATTCGAACGCGCTGCACCGTAAATACGAGAGAGAATTTTCTAAACGGTCTACTCTTTTCACTCGTTCTAAACGTCTATCTGGCCTGAACAGACCAAAGTCCCTCCCGTCATCCCTCGTAGTGTCCGACTTGTCACCCCGATTTACTGCCAGCTCAGTGTTAACGACACATCACTTTGCTAAACCGGCATAACATGAGATCTGTAAACCGCCAAGCATGAGCGTTCATGCACTGTGTGCCCAGATAAAATAAACTGAAATTAAAAGTTAACATTTGTCCCATTAGATCTTCGTATTTCACCCACGTCCTCTTTTTTTCAGTATTACCTTTCCCTTCTATTCTATTTTTTATGAAAAAGATAGCAAGAAGTAAGTGACACGTCAGTAATTAAATTATGTCAAATTTTTTTATTTAAAAGTTTTGTTCACTTTGATAATATACAATAGAATATTAATCTTATATTCCTCTTTTGAAATCATTCATATGTCCAAAGCTGTATATTTATATCTTACATGGCATTTTGTATCAAAATGAAAAATTATCAATTACAGGCACTTCTTTATAAAAAAGAAATATTTACATAAAAATATAAAGGACGAATACATATGTAACAATATAACAATATGTAAACTTATACTGTAGATTCTAGAACACAGAGATCTTATAAATTAACTTGTTCGCTAATCATACAAAGAGTACGTGTCTAAGTTCAGGCTGCCAAATCGGCGTATTCGCAATTGTGCGAACGTCGCGTCTAAGTTTATATAGAAAAAAAACTATCTTGTTATATAAAAATATTTTTAGAAATAGGAACTTCGAAAATAGAATGATTCGTAACATTCCTCATAACGTAGTCAGTCCATCGATCGAAGCAACCGATTGTGTGCACCACGCTTGGTATAGAACTTCAATAACTGTATTGTATGCTAAAAGAAGGCATTTATGCGTATACGAAAGGCAGCTATTTCTATACATCTTGCAATTATTTCTCAAAAATCCATATATTACAACAGACCTGTCCAAACTTAATTCACGAACTAAATAATTACAATATCTGTTAACATTGTATGAAAAATTCCAACATACATTGTTTATCGCTTGTGCACTGGCCGAACATCGAATTTTTAAAACTATAATATATTTTTTTAAAAATCTATTCTTAACGCTTGTTATGTAGTTGCAGCACCTTGTTGTTCCAGATGCTTTAAAGCTTTTTTGCTGTTCTCTACGAATTCCTGAAGACAAGATTTTTGTCTATATAAATGACTTCATAACGATTAAGAAATAATAAAGCTGATGTATTTATTATAACAATACAAACCATCAAACCACGGCTCATAAAATAAGGTCGGTTGATGCCGTCATTCTTCTCGCAATCCTCGCAGAAGCATATAAATATTGTGTCAATAATCATCTGCAAAAAGTTAACATTTCTATGAAGATTATATTATTTATTTAACATTGACATTTTTTTGCTTTTTATATCATTTACCTCATAAATTGATATAAAACAATGTGAAACCAGGAATGCGAATATCCCCGCGAGAGTGATTGGTATCCAAGGATGATTAAGCCCCTCCTTTTTCTACAAAGGGATAAAAAAATTAAAGTTAGTAAAGCCCTTAAAATATAAAAATAAGTATAATAATTAATTTTACCTGTACCTGCATCAAGTATATCCCCGAAACGATCGTAAGAGTGACAACGAGGATTTTACCCAAAAAAAGGACGAAGTCGCCGACGCTGTTAATCGCCGCTACTCGTAAAATGTTGCTTGACAAGGCTTGGAACGCCTTTCTTCCAGCGGTGCAAAAGTTGCATCCGTATATGGCTGAAAAAAACATCGTTTTTTAATACATTAGTCAATAAAAAAATATTTTTAATTTTTGTTTTTAATTGTTATATATTCAAAATAGAAAAATATCAGGCATCATGAAAAATTCAAATCAATATTTATATTATCATAAAAATGTTGCAATTACCTGTTTCGATGTAAGCATTTCTGGAGAGAAATTTTAAAACGCACTCGAAACACCAAAGACAACATTGGCAACACCATAGAATTCCTTTCACGCATGAGTTATCATATCGTTTCAAATACTTTTGGACAAAAGCTATCATGGCTCTGATAATTCTAACAATACCTATTATTAAAGCACCAAAAGCCACCGTACCCAAGTGATATCTTATAAGATATCCGAAGCCTTTTGCCACTGGTAAAGAGAGACGCCTTTTATCCCTGTTAAAATGAATTCTTCTATAAAATTCGTGCAATACTATGAAAAAGCATAACATATTTTGAAACATCATATAAGTACATAAGGTGCTTGACATTAGATGGAACATCGCTTATTAATAGATAAAGCGAACTAAATTGACAATTAATCGAAAAATCCTGTATCATTTTACAATTTTCGCAATAATTAATAAGACTTTCCTAATAGCATACTTTATTCGAGGGACGTTCTGACGAATGTTCTTAGGATATAGGGATATCCTTTAAATGTTCTTTGGAATGTCCCTTGGAGATTTGTCCTATTAGGATTAATTTTTTAAAATATTCGAATAAGCACGTATTGTCAGTCAGCTTTACCTGCTTAGAAGCGGTGTTCCTTCTAACGTCAAACATCCTGTAAACAGAAGATCATTAGCAAGAAATCTAATAATTCTTCGTGAAAATTTTCTAGATATGTATGTTGACAAATAGTATTTTCGAGTATGTAAAAAAACATTCATTTTATTTTTCTTTACGTAGCTATAATTTGATCAACTGATTACATACAGATTAAACTTTTCATACTAATTAATTTTTCACTGCGCTATTTTTTCTATTTAACTTTATATATCTAATAAAGATCTCACCTTGTAAAGAACCATCGGGCAACAGCGCAAGCAACAACCATATGCTGGCAACCCAAATAGAATTCACACGCCACGAAGAATAAAAATAGATTGTACCATCTTGTTGCCTAAATTAATTCCATTTATTATAAAGATAAATATAAAATATAATTTAATAAATTAATTAAATAACAATTAATACGTATATAATACAGAATAAAAAATAATATTAACATTTTGATTTATGATTATATTGATTTATTTACAATTTTGTAGTTTAAATCAAAATTTTCTCTTTTTATCTTAATTATTTTTTATAAATATGTCAACTTCTTATGAAAATAATTTTTTATCTAACTTCAAATCTTCGTCAAACTCTTGTATCATTTTCAAATACAATATAAAAAAATTTATAACTTTTTAATTTTTTATTTTATCATATATATAATTTAATATATCCTTAAAGCAAAATGTATAAAATTCACAAAAACATTAGATAACAAATCCCACTTGATAATTGAAAATATGAATATGTATTTATTCTATGAAATATAATATTTATCACAGTTGATAAAAACTATGTTCACTTACAATAAGCAATGCATCTTTCTTGAAATGAATGTGATTTTTCCTGTTCAAGTAAATATCACCGGCACTCTCTATCCATAGCATACAGTAGACCCATGCTATTACTGTAGACCCGATCAGTAGATAGGTCTAAAAATAAAAAATTTCCACATTCGCGAGATCATTCAATATGAAATGAACCGGACTTGTATAACTGGAATGAGATATGCTCACGTAAATCGGCTGAAATAGCAGCGCCGGCATTGAATACACAGCTTTACCCGCCTCTCGGAAAAGCTGCATGACCAGTTCAATTCTTTTTCTCATCACTAGAATCACTAGAAGAACAATCACCTGCGGAATGTATTATATGTTAATATGTATATATCCGCAAAATTTGTGTGAACATAGCGTTGGATATAATGATTTTTCTTACAGAAATAACAGACATAATAATAGCGTAGATAAAGTAGGGTTCCACGCTGGAATCCTCCGGATAGACTTCGCCTCTTTCCACGCTCTTTTTTTCACGGTACCACGCTAACCTTTGCATAAAAGATTAAACTTATTTTATTAAATTTAAATAATAAATACACGGCAAGAACGGTTTCACTGAATTATTTAAAAATGTAGCTAGATATCAATCTAAAAATAATTTTGTTGAAACATGAAAACAATCGTACAGAATCGCTCATGCTTGAAAATTTTACATAGTTGTTTCGAACAAAATTATTTTTAAATTTATATCTACACCTAAAATTTTAAATACTTCAGCAAAATTGTTCTTTCTACATAGATATTTTATTCTCATGTAGGAATTTTTAGATTGAACAATTTAAGATGTGACTTTTGCTACATCGTTTTAATTATTAAAAATTGAGAGAATTCTCTTTACCAGAGATATGTTGTGCCACCGATGCAAGCCAAAACTGCGCCGATCAATACGACATAAATGACATATTGTACCATATACCGGAAGGCTACCAGGATACCGAGAGAAAGTCCTGAAAAATCGTCAGTCGCAATCAATCACGTAAAGCTTCTGTTTTGTTCTGTTTCGCGAACTGAGAGAGAGAGAGAGAGAGAGAGAGAGAGAGAGAGAGACAAATGATATAAGAATTTAAAACTGAAATTTAATATGCAAGAATCAATTGATGAAATAAAAAGATTATTCTGTTAACGTAAAAAAAATATTATTTTTTCAAATTCCAATTACATTCTGCAAATTGCATATCATCGAATTTAATAAATGCTTGAGATTTTATATGTATAAATAAATAGATAAATAATGAGGAGAAATTATATTTATACATATAGCAAGAAATTGAAAGTTTTAAATGGTATAATATTAAAATAACATATGGTAGATATTTATTTCTGAACACCTACCTAAAGCTATAAGCAAAAGGTAAATCAATTCACGCCATGCGATTCCCAGATCAGTAACTGCGTCCTGAAATAATAATATATTTTATCGATTAATTACTTATTTAAACCAATTGAGAAGATACTGCACACGACATATATTGCTTGTAAATCATGTTTGAATATCTTAAAATGAATTGATCTATTTATTTTTGATTACCTCAAATTTTTCGTGTTTTAATGGACACGTCATGCGTCTATTAAAACATGAAACGCTATATATATAAAAATTAATAAATAAAGAAAGAAATTTGAGATAATTTAATTTGAAGCTTAATTTAAAATGTAATATATTATTAAATCATCATAAATTATTCAAATTAAGACAGACTATTTCTGAGCTATTTTAAAAATAAATGATTGGCCAGTTTAGTGTACGACACATAATTTTTCTTTTTAGAATGGATATATTTTCTCTTACTATTTCGAATATTGGAAAAAATTAGATTTTTTCCGCTAGGAACAAGGAACAAGATGACATGAAACTCCCGGAAATTGGAATAAAATCTATTTAAACAAAATGTCTTAAGACCGCAAATGTGAATATATAACTGAGTAATGAAAACCTCAACGGTCTAAGCTGGATCTTAGTGCTTAAATATTATTTAAGTACTAAATATGAATGTATATACACATCCAGCAGTTGTGTAAATTGCGCACTGAAATCATTTTCACTCTTGAAATGCAATTATAAGTTGAACTGAAATATAGTAATACAGTAATATCATAAATGAAATTGAAAAAGAAATTTAATAATATTGATGCTAATAAACATTTTAGATGTTTGGCTCATGACTGCGTTTCAAGAAAATAATTTCGGCATTCAACACAAGAACTGGATATGTATATAAATTCATACTGAAAATATTATTTAAATACTAAAATCCAGCCCAGACTGTTGAGACTTTCATTATTCAGTTGTAAAATAACATATGCTAAATTTATTTATTATTGATTTAAACGGAAACATGTACAAAATGAAAGACATCAATAGAAAATAATATAATAATGCATGTTTTTTTAAATTCAAGATCAGATTCTAACAAAACAACAAGCTAGCAATTTTTATAATTTTTACAAGGGATCTCAAAAAATATACTCACAAACAAGATCACTTACATTGTAAATACTTTCTAACCGAAGGGTCCTTATTATGGAGCTGATAGTTTCTGTCGCTTTCTTATTCATACAGCGATTCAGGAATATTATTCTACGAGACAGAGAAACAGAAATTGATGTTAGAAAAAACAATCGGAAAAAAAATCAAGTTTATATTTACTGCATGAAACTTTCTGCGATTGCGACTCTAGCAGTCATTTAGATTAACGCGAAAAACATAAACAGAAACGTAAAACATTTAACGAGATTCAATTTACTAACTTAGTCTTGTCCTGTTCACAGCTCGTCTTGCATGTACGTTTTTTCACTCCAGTCACTTCCAAATCAATCTCGAGATATCTAATAGACACAGAATATAAATTATCAATGAAAACAATGATCAATATGATCAATTCTCAAAATCTTTTATAAAGATATTTAAAAATCTTTTATAAAGTGGCACAAACAATCAATATCAAATCAAGAGTTGAATATTATTTTATTTTATTATGTTTTAGCCTTTTTATCGATCCTAGGCTGCATTAATTTTTTCGAATAGGTTCTGCTACAATCTTTAATTTAATACACTATTTAATTTAATAATAATTTCTTTAATTTATGTAATTTATTTCAGGAAAATTATAAAATTTTTAATATAATCTCGCCTTTGTTGCATGAACTGTACGACCGAATCGCAAGGAAATTTGATTTAATACAAATACTTCAAGGTGCACTTACGGTTTATTGGTGTAATCACCACCCTTACACTTGAATTTTGGATCATTTTCGTACGAGGTTACACGACCACAAACATTTCCGCAATTATCGTATCCATTTATCGCGCGGAAAATGTCACCTTTCTTCACCACATTCGTCATCATAAAGACCTGCACGCGTGAATTACATTTAGAGAGAGAACATATTGGCGTTATGACGCGAATAAAAAAAATAATATTACTTACAAAACCACCCGCCAGTATGAGTAGGATGATTATAGCAAAAAAATCGGTACATGATCGGTTCTCCACGAATACCTGTTCTGAATAATTCGATGGCGAGTTTTGATGACTATCAGGTGTCTAGAAAGGAAAAATTATATACAAAGTCAAAGCTGTTCAAATAAGTTCAAATAAATAGCCGATTTTGAAAAGACTTTAATCTGCTTACTAATGAAAAATTTAAAATCAAACATTTTGAAGAAATAAAAGCGTACTAGTCAATACGGAAAAAATAGTTTTGCTAAAGTTATCTAAAAATTTAGCTAGTTACAGATCTAAAAATTTTATTAGATCATCAAAATAATAAGATACTCAAGATCTGTTTTAAAGATTATGCATTTCGCGGGTTTTTTCAGCGTCCAGATCCATTCTTGGAATGCCTTTCGTGAACCTTGCAGTCCACTTCATCAGGGCTAAGAGTAGCCTGATACTGAGCTGTTTCTCCGGACCGTTCCAACGAAACGTTGGCATTCCAAGAATGGATCTGAACATGGAGAAAATTAGCGAAAGGCATAATCTTTATAACCCGGAAGTACCCGTGAAAGCTTCAAGAATATTACTCAAGTTGATTGTTAGAATGTCAAAAATTTTTGTAACATACTCATCAGCTTGAACTTCCTATATAATTATTTTAATGGACCAACAGAATTATTTTCAAATTTGTATATTTAATTGAATTTATAAATATTTCAGCAAAACCGTTCTTTCTATGAAGATATAGTTGCAAACCAATTATATTTATTACCGAAAAAATTAGGTTGATTAATTTAATGAATAAAATAAATGATATTTCAGCAAAATCGTTGGGACGGTTTTGCCGAAACATCTAAAAATTTAACTAAACAAATCTGAAAATAATTTTGTTGAATCATCAAAATAATTATGTAGGACGCTCAAACTGGTTGCTAGAAAAAATTGTCAAAAGTTTTTTGCAGCATTGCTCGTAAAACTTGAATTTTCTACGATTTCCTATGATAATTATTGATAGTTAGATAATCCAACAAAATTTTTTTCAGATCTATATCTAATTTTTTAGTTAGACACAGATTTTTATTCCAGCAAAACATTCTTCTTTCCATGTAAGAATTAGTTTGAGTTGCGTGTTTGAGAAACATAAATACTTTATGAATGTTATTATTTTTAGGCACGCTACATTCATAAATATGCGGATCCTTTTTTAACTAGCATATAGGGAAAACGTTTACCGTGGGATCCGTGGGATCCGTAGGTTCCACTGTGGACGAAAGCTCCATTTTGGGCGAAGGCTCCACTTTGGACGAAGGCTCGTCCGCACAACCGCAGCAACCCATCTCTAAACTAACTGGAGCGACTGACTTCTCCAAACGATCGTGCTCGTCCTCCTTCTGATCGCCCTTTGACAAGCCTACCGTTTCTGAACACGCGCCAGCTTTAAAAACACAAATTGAAGATACGATTATCAATTCGCTCCTGTCACTATATTTATTGAAATTGCAAAAATAATCATTGCATAATTACACTCCAATACATGCGAGATACATAATAACAAGCAAGATAATCGTGTTTTTTATGCATGATATTAGTGATTTTATCGCGGTATATATTAAAATTCCGGAATATATTAAAACACTTCAAGCAATAGATTAAAAATATGTAGTGTTACATAATGTTTCTGAACTGGAAACCTGTTGAAGCGAACATACCAATACACAAATCGCTATACTGAATTATCATCAAGATTCGGCCGAGAATATTGAAAGTGACATAAATTTCTAAATTTATTTTCTCGATAGCTAACGACTCAATTTTGAACGTGCAGTTTGACGTGTGTGTGTAAAATGTATTAAAACAATTTTGATGTGAATGTAACGCGATGGCGATCGCTGTTTTCCGGGACGCGTTCCTTGAACGAAACCTGGGTCACGTCGATATCGATCGATTAATACACTTGGGAAGAGAGTTGCATGCTTGGATATTGTTGTCGCAACGCCAATCAGAATCACGCATCATCCATGGTAACACACGCGAAACATGATTGTTCAGAAGTAGAACTTGAGAAGGTTGATTGAAATACGTCAAATTTTCTAATGAATTTATGAGAGATAAACATTACTTTCTGTCAAATTACGAAATAATAAACTAAAAAAAATGATAAATGAAATGATAAATGATAAATGAAAAGACGTATAAACAGAATTTTATATACATTATGGTACTTAAATGACACGTAACGAGTCTCATATTTCTTTATCAAGTCAAATAATTGACATTAAATAGTAATATTTATAGTTGGCATCTTTATGGACTATAAATTTATTAACTATCTATTATGAGATAGATATTCTGTAAGAGGTGGCGTATAAGATTTATTTAACGTAAAATGGCTAACTTCACTAATACTAACAGAAAATCTATCACAATCGCTAAAGATATACACACATAAAAGTCACACGAATATATATTGAGTGCAGTAGGTTAATGTTACTTCCATGTTTCAGTCACGAAAGAAACACGGGAGAAGTTTTTACCACGGCAACACGGAGGCGAAAGGGAACTTTAGTTACGCGACATAGTGTTGAATGACATGGATACGGCTATTGCCTCTCGAAGACATTACAATTACGTCATTACTCCCTGCCTTAGCCGTTAATCTACCTTGTTTAAGATTTTTTTTAATTGAAATCGATCGTTTTCAGTAAATGTAACGCTCACGCTATAATATTTCAAATGAAATAATGATTTTACTTGAAATATCTCAAATAATATATAATATACATATAATCTAAAATATTAATATTAACGTTTGTATAAAATAACACGTATTATTAATTTATATATTACATTTTCTTTATATATAATATTAACATATTGTATAAATTTAATATAACATATAAATTTATTTATCATTATTTCTGCGAAAGACGTATTAATTAATTCTTTTGTATCGGATTTTTTTTGTACTACTTTTACTCCCACTACTTTATATAGCGATTACATGAAAGTTTTTATCCGCAGTATTTTTACCTCGTTGAATTAACGATCATCGGCAAGATGCCATCAATCAAAAATTGACACGCTCCAGTCAAAATTAGACTTTAATATCGCGATAATCAAATTACCTTCCGGTGTCTATATACCGTGTCGTAGGGAATACTCCTAGAACATAGATGTAAGATGGATTAACGCTTCCCTGACCCGATCGATATCGAAAGTAGGCATCGCCCTGTGTGAACACACAGTCCGTAACTACGTTTCGTACATTCAAAGAGAAGACTAAACATGATAACAATCGACCCAAACAATATGGGTGGGTGTTTTCCAGCTAGGACACAAACGTCATTCTTGACATCTACGAGTGACAAAGACAGAACGATATTGTATATCATCAATCGACTTATATATCATCAAATGACGTGCGCCTATATTTCACAATGCAATTATACGGTAGTTGATTACTCCTATCATAACAATAAAAGCGATTTCTGTGTACATAAAGTGTATCATATCGTACAATTGCAAGTGTATAATTATTTTTTACTTTTTTTTTAATAATATTTCTTGCTATCAAGCTCTCATTGTACATAAGATAAACGTTTTTCTATACGACTCTCTGCGTGTGTGTTTAGTAGAATAATTCCTAGCCTAGCTATTCTGAAATAACTTTTGTCATGAAAACAGATGGTTCACCGGCTACCGCATAACTTCTTGCGCGCGGCCCGCAAGTGCAAAAAGCTGTAAATGTTTACAGAACAAATCGACATAATCCAGTATGGGACATTTCGGATTTGCAGTTTCGGACGTTCTTCTATTTGACTTAGGTTTAACCGGGATTTCAGCTAATATTAGACGACTCAGCTTGTCGCACGTATTACATACGGTTTGCCAATAGTACGCTGCTATCTTACGTGCCTCAATGAAATTATGCTCTCATAATAATCAGAGAAATAATAATCGATAAAAGTAATTTCCCCGTTAGCCGTCGGTATCGCAAATTATTTTCGCGCTGGTGACTTGCCAACCTGGGATCTATTTTCGCGTATCCAAAGGCATCGCCCGTAGATTTCAACGGAGTTCTTGTAAAGTTATGAAAGACGTATTTCTCGAAAACTTATGGGCATCAAGCGGCGGTATACCTTTTCAATGAAACTTTCGTGAAAAGACGCTCGAGAGGGTTCTACGCATTCCGTGGAAAAATTCCGAGGCACGAAGTTGCGGATTTTTCTTGCGGATCAACCGACGCTTCTCACCAGCCGGTGAGTTGGATACATAATCTCGTCTACCAGCACGAGCAGCGCGTGGGACGAAAAATACATGCGAAAGAAAGAGTATGAGAGAGAAAGAGAGAGAGAGGGGGGGAGGGATTTAGACCTTACACACATTGAACATACAACGTAGCATCGTTACAAGTCTTTCACACGCTCGCGGTAGAGATCGTACGAGACAATGGAAAAACAACTAAACGACGAATTAAGACTTACTTATACTAATTATACACTATGAGGAATTAAGAAGAATCGTGAGTCACGCTTACGCACGTCCGTGAACATGGTATAACGTTCACAGCACTTATACAGCAATTATGTTTCTTCTATCTATTATTATTTGATATCACATCTATTTCTTGCTATCGCGTTAATAATTATTTATTTAACACGACTTAAGTAATCATTTTAGATTATTTTATTAAATGACCGTTTTAAGTTCATAAGAAGTTCAATAAATCTTTAGATAAATTTAGTTTACGCTAGGAATTGATTCTTCGGTTTAACTAATAATCGCACCTTTTCTTGTCGAGTCGAATTAACCTGTACTTCACAAAGAAAACCCACTGCAACCGACTACGATCGACGCACCAGACAGAATAAAACGCATCTCTATTGGTTCTCACAACTTTATCCCCTCTCCATGAGCTCAGTTTCTCTTCAACGATAACTTATTTTATCATATAATATATTAAAGTCTGATGAAGATAATCGTAATAATGCATTATCTGACAACGTTGTTATTGAAACAATGATAGATAATTCAACTAGGCAATATCTATCGGGTTGCATCTCTGCAATATCCTTGAAAATGTTCCATGTACGTTTGGTGTTGCGTGCTTGGTGGTGTTGTATGTGCCATCGCGTTAAAGTCATTGATATTACAAATCGAACACGTGGAAAAAATTAAATGTAAGATCAAGAAATCAATAAAAGTCATACAGCCTGAAAATCGTTAAAAGAATGAAGAATTGTTTCGAATTATTTGAGAAATGATAATGGTGGACGAATATTAAGAAAAAAACGCACCAACGCACTCGAAATGCTTAACTTCTAAAATACCTATAAAAGAATACCTAGACTCTGTAGAATATTCCATGAACTAAAGGAACATCTGGCGAGAAATACCGAGTAGAACCGAAAAAGCCCGATTTTCTTGACGTCCCTTTATACCTGATCTCGTCCTTATCTGAATTGACAGAACATTCCAGATACATTTTTAGTTTCTATTCTTCGACAATTTTATACTTGTGCAGATCTCCAAAGTTTAATGTTATTAAAACTATGTGAAGAGATCTCAATAATTTATCGAATCCGTAATATTGCTGCTGTAATTCGTCATAATAAAAAAATGGGATTTTTTAATAAGTTTTTCTCTACTCTAGATACTAATTTGCCTATATCAAATTATATATTATTCCTGATTTACGAGTATCTATTTAAATAATGTATTATACTGATTAAAGGCTCATTCCTAGGAACTGCAATAAATAATATCACTTGGATTCACAAAATAAAATTTATCTTATAATTTTTGAGTTGTACGCAAAATCACTGTTAATCTCGTTACGCAACTTCTGACGATTAATGTCATTATTATCTTACGTAGAAATCGTTAAAAGATGGATATACGTTAACAGATGGTGTCTACATTAATTGCCAAGCTGCTAACGCTTCATAAATCTCTTCCTTTTTCTTTCTTGATTTACGTATCCACCAGACAGTCAACACGTTCGTTGATTTTAAAAGTCAATACTAGTTTCCGTACTAATTTTTCTCGTTGCAACTTTCATGAACTACTATCTCAATGAAATAATAACGCATAACTATGCCCGGAATTCTCGTGTAGGTGCAAAATTATCGCTTCCGGAATTGCGCAAGAAACTCGTTTGCCCACTAACGATATATTAGGCTTAAAAGTTAAATCGCTCTGCCGTGTATAACGCTTCGAAATGAAGCAAATAATCAAATAGCGAATGAGGTCGATCAATCTTTATGCATAAAGATATAATTTATCTGAATAATATTCATTTTACAAACGTATTTAGAACGTAATTAATGAGCTCGATAATGAAGAATAAAGATATATAATATAATCGGTAATCTATTTAGCTACATTTATCGACGATAATAAGGGGATAAAAATTTTCATCACGAATTATGTAATAATTATGCAATTTACTTTTATTAAATAATTGCTTATTTAAATATATATATATATATATGAGTTATTTTTCAAATTAAACTATTTAAAAATATTCTCATAGCTTTTCCTAATATTTTTCAGGAAATATGTTTTATTAAAAATGTATATTCAATGATAATCTCTGTCTTACTCTGTATCAAGCTTAACCTCGACAGATAACAGAAGTAATAGTAGTATATAAGGATTAAAGCAACGTAAATGGATGGCAGGTAGTACCTTGATGAAGATTTTCCTCGGCGTCATTCACGCATTATGATAATCCTATATTCTCCGTTCTTCAATTATTCATGAAACTCGCTCCGACTTTCCTGCTTAGGCTTCTCTTCGCGGAAACAGATATTAGTGCAATTTCTGTGCGTTCTTAAAGCTACACGTATTTCCAGATTTTTCAAAACGAATACAACTCGCGTATAACATGTGCTTATCCTCGTCGTTCGAACTCACGTAACCTTTGGGTTACGATCGATGCACTATCAACACAACTGTCCGAAGATAGACCTGCAATGTTTTTGCATTCGATTTAACACACATATATATATATTAAGTCATTTAAAAAGTATCCGCGGTTTTTTGTTCAATTTTTGAATGAAAAAACCGCGGATACTTTTTAAATGACCCAATATATCTCTCTCTCTCTCTCTCTCTCTCCCATATCCTCTTTTCCTCAGTACAATTGTCCCCCAAAATATGCAACTCTCTAAAGACATTAAAATCTTATGGGATTCGCGACGGGATTATATTACATTTTATGTAACAACATTTTATGTCAGCTACTAAATTAGCATTTCATATTAAATTAATAATCAATTGTTTGCGAATTGCTGAACTTTGTGGCGAACAAGATCATAAAATAGAAGACCAAGATTTTTGCGTAAATAATGAAGAAATGTGAAGATTAAACTAAGCACATCGAAGCAAGACCGTTCCTTTTCCGCCTAAAGTTCTTTGTTTTCTCACTTCTGATTCACTGACCTTCGCGGGGAATTCCTTTATTTTTTATCTGTGTTCATTGAATAAACTAGACTTCATTTATAATGTAGGACGGGCAGATCATACACTCGCTAATTGTAAGTTAATTAGGAGAATGTTTGCAAGTGCAACGTAATCAGAATTATTATGAATACACACTTGATCGATCGATGTAAGTCAAACGATTTGCATGCAATTATTAGCTCTAGCGAGCAAAAGCAAACTTGGAAAGATCTAGTGCTACTTGTATGAAGTATGTTAAAACCGAAAGTAATCACCTAATTTTTTTTACGTAAACGATCACTTTACGAACATTTTATGAAATTGGGAAGTTTTTATACTTCTACTAATTAAAATCACTACTTATTAACAACATTTTATATTGTTTTTCTCCGATTTATTAGTATTTGAGAATATTATAAATATAAATATTATGATTTAATCACAACTTTCTGAAAGTAAAAACCAAACAAATGTTAAATGGGATAAGCGTGTTAAGTAGCTACGACAGTATTTCTGAAAAATAAAGATTTTCAACAATATAACGCTTTTTTCATCGTGGATTTTCAATAAAATTGCATATTTAAAGATTTGTAAAGAATACAGTTTTACTAAAAAAAGAAAAAAATATGTTACAAAAATATGCATAAAAAAATAACACTTTACAATTTATATTTTTCGCTACTAAGCTTAGTTGAGGTGTAAAAATATTCCAGATGACGATTCCCGGGTTAAAAATATAATAAAGCGTATTGTCAAATTTAATATAACTGTGTATCAAGTATGATTGTGTAACAATTTTGAAAAATATTGTACATTTCGTTTTATTTCGATTTTGAATTATTATTAATGGAATGCTTGTTTGGAATAGCAAAACATACATTCGCGCGAAAATAGTTCTCGCGATATTAACATGACACGGAAAATGCCATTATTAAGACGTATTATTCTCGTACCTTTCGATTGTTCGTAACTGAATACACCGCGGTACATTTGTCATTACGAGCGTATCTCATTCATCTTACATCACTCACATGCATCCAGGATCTACGAGTATTAATGCACCTGCGCACTGCAACCCGCATCTGCGGTTACGAAAATACAATGCAAAAAGTCTCTCCAGCGATATTCGCTCAAAGATAGAAAAGAAGCGTTTTATCGAAGTGAAAGAAAAGAAAGCTTTAGGATGATCAATATTCATCGCTAAGTTGGGGGCGATAAATTATTAAACCAATCACGAGTACTGCAGAATTGTCAATATTAGAAATAACATAAAGATAATTTCGTCAACGGGAAAATATTGACAATATAGGTCACATTTTCGCGCAATGACGAAATGGCTGAACAAACTTTCTTGGGAAACCGCATTGTCTCACTGACGTAAACTAGATAAACAATAAATATTTAGAAATTAACATCCGTTTATCAAGCACACATATTAACGGTGAATAATTGGGAAAATAAATGTTGGTCGTTTGCGGATTCTTAAACTTTAAAAAAGACTTTAAAAAAGATCCAAGCGAATTTTCAATTTGAATTATTCTGCCTCAAATTCAAATTCACGAACGAAAAAGTGAGAAACATTCTTGATCTACTCTTCCAAAACACCCTCTCCGAGGAAAATTTTACTCGATGCAATATTGTATACGTAAATTTCGAGTAAACTTTTCCTCGGAGAGGAACGTTTCGAAATGACCTAAATGTCGAAAGGATGTTTTTCAGTGTTTTTCCAGAATTTTTTCAGATTTCGTAGAGCTCGAAAACCCTTTGAAAAATACAATCAGGTACCGGTCGGTTGGATTAGGAAACCAGTGAAAAAAACATTGGACCACTCCAGGGTTAAAAGTGACAATTGCCGGTGTGAAAAGCAACCGAGAGCACCAAAACATCGGAAACGCATGCATTTGTAAAGTCAAGCCGTGAGCTGTGTCACGATCTGCGTAACGATCGTGACACACCTGTGGGCGTAACTTGGAAGGGGAGAAAAACGAAACAAGAGGGAAAAAAACCCGTACGGACTAACCGTGAAAACGACAACAATTCCAATGAACATTAGTTCGAGGTCGAGTATTTGCTTTTCTTATAAACGATATCAGGCATCGTTTTATGTTTTATCATGCGACAGTGATACTCGAAAATAAAATAATCAGGAGCTGAGCATGTGCGTCTGAGTCACAGAAGAAAAACCTGCGTGTTCCTACGATTAGATTAGAGCGAGTATGGCGGCAGCCGGTAAACCGTTAGCATTCCAGCGAGAAGGTAAACTCGCTGAAATCGGGCCATTACCGTGTTACTTGAAGCGAACCCGCTCCGCTTCAAGGTTCCAATGAGCATTCGCAGTAGTCACAGTTGAGTCGCAGTTGCAGTGATCTACGGACACTCCAAGAGTCACCACGTCGATATGAATCGTAGTGTTTATCGTAGACTTCGCTCTCCTCGTACAAACTGTTCCTCCCAGAAACGTATATCTCGTGAGTTAATTTTCTGGATTATTCCGAATCCCTCCTAGCGGACTGCTAGAAAAAAGAAACTTCGTCTAGGCAACAACGATGATTACGACATGCAGCACGCACGTGGTTCAATCTTGGATCTTGGAGAACAGAACACACGAATCGGTACGACGCGGAGGTCACAGCGTCGCTTTGTTTTTGTTACGTCGTCGGCGCGAACTCGCGACGAGTCCGCTCGCATTCGAGCTCGGGCACAATACTAACAGTCGCCGACTCGTGTGATTACCAGCGGGGTCTGGAGAACGGGCTCTCTTGTGTGTCCGCCGGTTAACGATACTTCGTTGCAGTCCATGCTCCATTCGCTGTCCTCCTCTTTCATTCATTCCTCTCTCGCTCTCCTCCCACTTCTCCCGCGTGCTCCTCTCCCTCCTCCCGTCTCTCTTTCTCTTTCTCTCGTTATGAATCATTCTCTTTGTCGCGTTGTCTGTCCGTCACGCACTCGCTCTCCTTACTCTTCCACCCGACTGCTGACCTTTCTGTCCTTCTTTACTTCTCTTCACGGCTTGTTTCTCTCTTTAGCCGTCTGTCCCTCCCTCTACGTCGGATCTCTGAATCTCGTAGTATCTCCTCCAATCGAGTCTACGAATTATCCGCGACGCTTAGAGCCTGGCTTCATCAAGGTCCTCCCGCATTAAACGCTAACAAGTACGTATGCTAATCGTGGCGATAACTTCGTTAACTAACTTGTCGGGGGCAATTTCAGGCACCACGCGATACCGTATCAATCTCACCCGAACGATATAACATCTTACGCTACGCGCGTAGTTAGTTAATAGTTTGCGCTGCAATTTTATGTAATGCAATTAAGCACAATGGCTGCGTTCAACGGAAAAGGACGCATGCGGTTTTCCAACTGTTGAAAGATTCTTTAATAATGGCCTTCTTTAGGCCCTGCGCACAATGGAAGAAATATTAAAAATAGGAATAAATATTAAATATTAGAGAAACAAAAAATGAAAAATAGAGGTTAAACGCACAATGGATGTAAATAAGACATATTTACATTTTATCTACAAAACGTAACACATAATGGATATAAATAAGATCTTACATTTTATTTATATTCGTTATGTGCTACGTTTACTCTTTATTTTTAATTTTTTTCTTTTTCTAATATTTAATATTTAATATTTATTGCTGTTCTTAATATTTCTTCCATTGTGCGCAGAGTCTTATACATTTGGATCTAATAAATTAAAGGCAAGATCAATCAATATTTTAAAAAATTATAACAATTGCAATGATTTCCACAAGAATCATTCTCTTTTTCCTTCTTCTTCTTCTCTCTCCCCTTTTGACAAAATCATCTCCCCTCTTAATAAGATATACGTCATTTTCGCGCGATACAAGCACCATCTTCACTAAATTATTCTACAATTTTTAAGTGATTTGATAAGATCTCGTGCAACGAAACTCATCGTTTCTTTTATACGCAGGACAGATTCTCTTCGGAGAAACTTGAGTCAACTCCTTCTGAATAAAAATTACAAAAAAAAAAGTCATAATTATAAAATTATTTACCGCCGAGAAAATCAAGAGTTTCAAGAATGTAAATAGACAACAGAGGTTCATCTTTGATTAATCTTAAACAGGCTTTAATCGAATGGAAATTCTACTTGAGAAATTTAACGGCCGAATAATATTTAATGTTGAACATTAAAAAATTGCGACGAGCGTTTGGTGCGCCATTTAATTTTCTGCTGAGGAAAAATCAATTTCCGAGAACTAGCCTCGGGAACTTGTCATTAAAATTTTATAGCGCGCTGGCATGGACGGTACGTTGTAATATCACGCATTAAACTTGTCGAATGTGTCAACCGGTCTGTTGATTTGTATGCGTTCTATTTATACGTGATGTGCACGTGGGACACGTAACATATATAATTGAGATAACAAGAGACGAGCAATAAAAAGCACAGGAAACATTCTAATATACATTAGAATTTTTCTCTGTTTATAAAATGCGTCCGCTGCGAGACATTGTATCGTAATACATGCATACATGAATACGGTTGTATTCAGCGCTGCTGCGGCCTGAAATTGAGCCAACCCGAATCCCCGCGTTTCCCTTTCGTCTAATATCAGTTAAACGAGACCGTCGAGTGCATTTCAGCAAAGCGCTCCAGCGAGTAGCTCTTTGCACACTAATAAAACATAACGGGATTCGGTCGTCCGGTACTCGAATTCGCTGTAAGAAACAAGTGCGCCTATATCGCTCTGGGCGCGTCAGCTAAAGCCTTTGAGCACGAACATACGGAATTGTCTGTGCGAAAAAAAATGTCCAAGGGCCTTGTGAATATTTCAGAAACGCTCTTTGGACGAGCAGTGTAATTAGACCGCACTGACTGTCCTGTGGATCTTTGAAAAGTTTATTGAAAAACCGATTTATCTCTTCAGGATCACCGAAATTAACTGCGATCTTCATAACAGCATTTCTAACATCTTAGAAAAAAACACGATCAATATTTAGAAATTAAAATATCTATAACGGTCTTCATTGCTTAAACCATTCAATCTTGATACTATATATATCATATATGTACTTGCATATATATATATATATATATATATATATATATATCATATTGTAGTCTTTCAACTGCGCGCCGAATTGTTTTTCCAGACTAAACGCAATTAAACTACACTCTAGTAATCGCGAATTAACTCTTAGAAGAGAATTGTTTCAAAATTATAGTTTACATTGACAGTAATTTGCTGATCTTAAGGTGTGTTGAAGACAATTGATAACAGTGTAGAAACAAGCGCGTGTTTATATAACACAATCAACTCGCGTCCATAATTTTTATCAGTTTTGCACTCTCTCTCTCGCGTCGGGGCTGATTACCTTACAGCAGACGCTCCTCCGTTTCGCTTAGACCGTTCCGTTGATTAGACAATACGCGGTCGCAGTGGCCAACGAGCCAAGCACGCGACATGTCGGGCGATGCGTTACGGATAACTCGTAATGTGGACGTGGGCGCTGAATAATAGCTACTTGTGGAGGAAGAGCTTCGATTCCGCGCAATTCATAGCCACGCCGCGCTACGAGACGCTCTCTCGTACCGGAATGCAATTTGTATTAGCAATGATATATCAGTAATTGCAACATCACGGAGCGCAGGGAGTGCAATTCCACTCGCGACAAGTCCGCCGTTCGCATTCGCGATATTCGTGATATCGCGAGTATAGCAGAGATTACCATGTCCAACTATAACGACATTACCTTCTGTCATCGAACCGCGTCATTTATCGCCGGTTCTGCAATCGCGTTGCAATTATAAGAGATATTCGCTCCGTAAATAGGATGTTATCAGTTTGCATTTACGAAAAAAAAAAAAAACACAATCGCAAAAAACAATAAATAATAAATACGATAATAAAACTTTTGTTTCCTAATCTGTCTCTTTCTTCCTCTTTTTGCAAAATGTATATTATTTGTTTTTATATATATTATTATAAATTTATATAATTATTTGATTAACTATTAATTATTTGATTAACTATTCATTATAAATTTATATTTATTTGATTATTTACTGCATGAGTTAATAATGTTTTAAAATGTACAAAAAAATATTAATGCGAATGCAGTTTCAAGATATGATATTTCAAGTTTTAGAAAATAAGTGCTAACTCGGTATCCTTATTCCCTATCCAGGCGTTCTATAATTCATCGAAAAATACATTTCTCTGAAAGGCTGTTTGGCTCGGGCCACCTAAATATTTATTTCCGAAAACGTTGAGTTAAGTTTCTCGCCGTCCATCAAGCTGGCAGAATTGTTCTTGACGAACTCGTGGAACGAGCATATAACTTGCGTCCCTATGGATGCGGAATACGTCTGTCTAGAATCCAAGTCCTGTATTCATATCGTACGCCTATATGGTACTGAATATATTTTACGTATTAATCTCGAATACGTATGCATTTATGTCCCAAATGTGAATTTTCCTTGTCTCATTTGTATACATTTGTGACTCAGACGGCGCGGCGATCTCACTTGTATTGCACAGATATTCGCGTACGATATGTTACGTTCGTGTTGCAAGATGAGAGAGGTCAAGGAACGCCTGGTAAAAGACGCGCTTCCCGTATTCATCAAATACGTTCCTTACCTAAAGACGCAGTAATTATGATAATTGATTGTAATTCGCTATTAGCCTTCGAAAACGCAATTAGAATCGCATGACCGCGTTTAGCGCTAAATGCGGCGTGGCCTAGGCGAACCCGAGTGACCCCGTGGTGTGCTCGCCAGGTACGAGGTCGTACCTGAACACGCACGCGTAACGGCTGCGGACGAGCACCCCGAAAACGACGTTAAACCAGCAGCACGCGGGGCACAGCTATAGCTACGGTGTTTCGTCTCGACTCGAGGCATCACCTCGGTTAATTTTTCAAAGTTTTGCCGACTTTAATTGTGCATTGGACTCTGACTGGCCAAGTTTATCTCATTGAGGTCCTTCATGAGGGCTAGGGACAAAACAAAACGTAGAAGAAGAAAAAGCTGTGAACTATGACCCAAATAGACTAATCATAGTCGATTATTCTCTTCATCGATTCGACGCGCGATTTTAAAAGTTCTGGGTTTAACGAAAGAAATATTGCACAATGAAAGAAACATTAAGAACAGGAATAAACATTAAATACTATGAATATAGGTTAAATGTAACGTATATTTTGTGTTCCATGTCTTAATCATTTGTGTCCATTATGAGTTACGTTTAATCTTATTCATAATTTTTTTATTGATAATGTATCATATTCATTCTTGATACTTCTTCTATTATGCGCAGGATTTTATTGATCTACAAATTCCTATGTATCAATAAATCTGTAAAATTCAATACAACATATTATTCTATATACTTTTTACAGATAAATATAAAAGATATCCACTCTTGGCCATTATGTACGTTTTATTTAAAATGTAATATAAGAGAATTTGTTCAATGATATTTCAATATTAATTATTTAAAAATTCACACCACTTTTGTTTTCGTAGAATTTATTTTATAACGTACATAACGTTGCTCGACGGAAACCGCGAGAAGGTGGTGGTTTCTTCCGTCAAGAGGGAAATGTAAAAAATTTATTTAAAATTTATGTTACAATATCACGCCTATGCGATATAAAATAATAGAAATTATAAGTTTAAATTATTATATTAATAAAAAATAAATCTTTAAATCTTAAAATAAATTATTTTTTACATTTCCCTGAGAGTGTGTGCGTGTGTATGTTTTTATATGCTTATTTTCTTCGAGTCTAGTGTCTGTCTCACTGAGAAAAAAAAAGTTTTAACAACTATAAATTTACAACTTTAAAGTTTAGATACTCACAACTAGTTTAACAAAGTAATAAGAACTAAGTAATACTGAATATTATAAAAATATAGTAAAATACTATTAAAATATAGTATTCAGTTCTATTTTTTAGTCCTTATTACTTTGTAAAACTAGTCGCACTTAAATTGTGAGGCTCTCAAGTTGCCAGAACTATTGTTTGTCTCTTACAATTAATGTAGAAACAGACAAGATTTCTGAAACGCTTGTTCTTTTCAAGTGTGATCATTTTTAAATATTTTAATTATTGAGTATATACAATTTTAATCTGACGAGGGATCAACAATATTATGCTTGCTACTCGCAGCATATAGTCTTAAAATATTACGATTTTTTTTGGCAGGATATAATTTCTTCGCCATAAGAAACAAATGTTTTTTCTCAACTTTCATGTTTAT